AGAGGGAGAGGGAAGAGGAGGGGGAGGAGGGAACCTGAGGGGAGGGTGAAATCTCGGTCAGCGGAGGCCGAGGGCAGGATGTTGGGAGGAGGCGGATGCGAGGTGGGCGGAGGGCAAGGGGAGATGGGAGATCCCAATAGCGGAAGGGAGGGTTGGCGCGCACAGCACGATGTGCAGCGGGATGGCGGGAGGAGGCGGATGTGAGGTGGGGGGAAGGCAAGGGGAGATGGGAGATCCCAATGGCGGAAGGGAGGTGGTCGGAGGCTGACAGGAGGTCGTCAGAGGCGGTCAGGAGGTCATCAGAGACCGAGGGGAGGTGGGCGTGCACTGTTAAAAAAGAAAAAAAAGAGAGAAAAGGGGCGGGCAATGGGATGTCCAGCGGGATGGCGGATGTGCGGCCAGAGGAACGGAGCCCAGAGCGGAGGTGAGCGGAGGTGGAGGAGAAGTGGCGGAGGCCGAGCGAAAAGAGAGAGAGGACATGGCCAGAGGAGGTGGACGGAAGGCGGACGGAGGCTGAGGGGAGATTGGCGATCCCAATGGCGGGAGGGAGGTGGGCAGAGGCGGACAGAAGGTCGACGCTGGCTGAAGGGAGGCGGGCACACACCATTTTTTTTTGTTTTTATTTTAAAAGGCGGGCATAGGGATGGCGGATGTGCGGGCAGCGGAATGGAGGCGGAGAGGAGATGGCGGGAGGCGTACGGGAGGGCAGAGGTGGAGAGGAGATGGTCGGAGGAGGTGGACGGGAGGTGGCGGAGGTGGAGAGGAGATGGCGGGAGGAGGCGGACGTGAGGTGGCAGAGGCGGAGAGGAGATGGTGGGAGCAGATAACCGGAGGAGGAGGACGGGAGATGGGGGGAGGCCGACGGAGGTGGGTGGAGACGGAGGGGAGGTAGTCCGAGGTGGGCGCAGGTGAGCGGAGGCCGAGCGGAGGTGAGCGGAGGCCAAACGGAGGTGGGTGGAGGCCGAACGGAGGTGGGCGGAGGCCGAGGTCAGCGGCGATGGCGCAGGCCGCTCTCTCTCTCTCTCTCACACACACACACACACACACAAACTCTGGGCGATGTGGTGAGTCCTTATCCATCAGTCAAATGCATCCTGGGCAGACTGTCGGGGTTCAACCTCCTGATGAGTCGGTGAAAGTCCGACGAAACAGTCTGGTACTGTCATGCTTTTTTTGAGTGTATAGCGAATATGACCACACACACACACACACACACACCACACACACACACACACACACACAGGGGATAGGGAGGCGGAGGCAGAGAGGAGTTGGCGGGAGGACATCACGGGAGGAGATGGCGGGAGGAGGCAGACGGGAGGTGGCGGAGGCGGGGGAGGAAAGAGAGAGAGGATCTGGCGGGGGGACGCAAAGGGGAGCTGGGCGGAGGCCGAGCTGAGGTGGGCAGAGACCGAGCGGAGGTGGGCGGAGGCCGAATCCGGAGGTGGTGGTGCAGGCCGCTCCCTCTCTCTCTCTCTCTCTCTCTCTCTCTCTCTCTCTCTCTCTCTCTCTCTCTCTCTCTCTCACACACACACACACACACACACACACACAC